TCCGCCCACTTTAAAAATAGTGCTAGCATTGTGGCAGTGGTATCATGAGTGTACGAAGGTGCACTGCATGCAGTTTGCAGCTGTAACGGCGTTCTGATCAAACTGCATGCAGTGTCCCCCTTCGCACACTCAGGATACCACTGCCACAATGCTAGCACTATTTTTAAAGTGGGCGGAGCTCGGTGGAAATCCAGCGAATGGAGATTTGTAAACAGCGTATGATTTGAGAGGTAAATGGGCGCACAATCCACGTACTATTTCGTATTACTATTTTATCAAATTTTTCATGAAATAACCGTCGGATTTTTAATATATTTGCAACTTTTAATAGTCCAAACATAGGATACGAGTAACGTGCCTGCTGTAAAACTTGTAGTAAAAAAGCGTTACAAATTGTAACCGACGTCTGCTTGTGGCAGTGGTAGATCGAGCCCACGAGCGAGAGCGCCATCTGTCGTGGAGTTTGCGTTCTGATTTGCATGCTGGGGTGGCACGCTGTGCATTCTGGGATAGCGCATGCTAATGACGTTGCAGTTATGAATTTAAAGGAATATTTTCAAAATTCTTGCTCAGAAACGCTCATTCCAAAAAAATATAGCGAAATATAGTCTCACCTCACGGCGGATGTATCACTGATTACACAAACTTGAAAAACACGATGATTTTACGCTGTGGCTATATGCCTGGCAGCCCTTGTTTACTTGACATAACGCTGAAAATTAAAAACTGCCGGGCATTTAGGAAATCAAAGACCGTGCCCGGCAGCCGTCAGATATATGCCGGCTGCCGGGCATATATAGCCACTCTGATAATTTTATGCAGTTATTTATAGCATAGAAAATTTGATATGAACACATCGTAACACAACGAAATATTATCGTGTGCCCAACTTGTAATTTGTCGGTGCGCACAAAAGGGCAGCTGATAATGTGTCATAGATGTATATAGTCTATGGCCGATAGGTGGCGCTATTAGTTTCCTTCAAGATTACAAAAGAAAGGCAGCGGTAATCGAAACTATATCGAAACATGCATGTTTTGGTGACTACGGAGGTTTTAATACATTTTATCGTTACTCTGATACACAAGCAATAACGGTGAGTGTTGTAAAAGTGGGGAAAACACGAGATTATATTCGAAAATTCCTTTAATATTCGATGCTTTAAATGACTAGCCGAGGCTTGCATATACCCAAATAGACGGTACGAGAGATTTTAAACTAGGAGATCAAACACAAACCACACGTATTGCTCCCCAGAGGCACCATCTATCAAATAAAATGTCCATTAATATTTTGACTAAATTTCGCCTGCAACCCTGAATGCAAAACTTTGTCACGATATTATGCTATATAATTTGCTGTGATGTAGTTGGATCAATAGTACACACCATTAAAATACCAGTAATAACTAAGAAGACATGTATCTGTATCACGAATATCACATAATATTATGACAATCATGTATATTCGTTATTCACTTCAGCATTCAACACTTATTGTCTATCTGCTAGTTACTTGCAGTGTCTTGCTAAATGCACTACTAGTCTACTATACCCTCTAAATGTGTTAAACACCTCATTTCCTACCAACCAGTTTTGTAAACGCTTAACATTATCTATCTATCTATGACTGTGATAAATGTTGTGCCTTCTGTATCATAGGTAAACCGATATTTGTTTTTATACCTAAACACGCTTTATTAACACTGACACGAGTTGGTGCAACTAAAACAACTACAACAGTAGTGAAAAATGTCATTTTAGAAACCACAAGGTGCAAGGTGGAGCACATCTGCAGAATATACTTTGAAACTGTACGTCAAATATAGTATAGCCGCAAGAAAACCGGGATTTACTTAAATAGGTTTGATGATATAGGTTAACGAAAATTAAACAAATGTACAACAAATAAAAAATTCGTTAACTCATTTTAAGGACAAAAATACTTCACAGCTTACATGTAATAGCGGCTAAGCTCAAACACAACCTGACTACACTGTGTGGAACTTGCTTTTTAAAAATTTCGTTATTCCTATAGATACATGTGTGCCCAACCACAGGCCTGCTTTCTTGCCATAAAATTTCGGTAAATTCTTAAACTATGTGGAGGTGTTGCGACCAGGTTGGGCATGTAACTTGGTATGGACACGCATTCTTCACTTGTGGGCAAAGTCCTCCCCCTTTTTGATGCTGCCCTTCAGTTCGGGGAGAGCTTTTTTCAGCAGCTCCTGCTCAAAATCGGAGAGCTTGCCCAAGCCTAGGTTTTTTTCCAGTCCGTTCTTGCCGAGCAGCAGTGGTGTGGAGAAATAGCTTGCCTCCGTCTCGCTAGACTTCACATACGCACACTCGATGACTCCCTCCTTGCCAGCGAGGGCATTCAGCATGGAGATGGTAAACCTAAAGAAAGATTTTATCATGTCAATTTAAATTTTAAAGATCAAACAATTCAATTCAGACAGGCATATCTATGTTATCAGGAACAAGATATTAACCAGATGATTTGACCTGATTTATAAACGTTTTTTCAATTGATAAGTTTGGTGTTAACAATAATATACTTTATTTATTATACGACACAATATTTATTTGCTTTTGCATATCATAACATCTAGATACTCTGTCTCCCTACCTACATGGGAGATGCTTTTATATATGGTTTCTAACACACTGCTAAGAATCACACCAAGCAAAACGAAGACAGCTAAACCCCCCCCCCCCCCCGGGGGGGGGGCACTCACCCCACAT